AACATTTAAAATGAACTTTTAAAAGTAAAGTACTTAACGTTCAAAACTTCTCGATATTAATCAACGTACTATAGACATTTAAAATATTCAAAAATAATATTGAATCAGATCATATAAATAAGATATAAATAAACAAAATATAACTAGTAACTTTTGGGTCTATTTGATCTATTTAATTTTATATCACACACTTATCAATATTACAATATCAAATTCTTATGACATTTGTTTCTCACAAATCACAATAAATTTAAAGACCGATAAAAAGTAAACATTATACACATAGCATTCTAGGCATATACTTATGTGTTTTCTATTTTTATATATACTTTGGGCATCTATCTTTCTTCACAACTTACTACCCTTAGACATTAGAATTATCTTCGATATTATGATAATATTACATGGTCTTTTTGATTCTACAACCATTTTTTTTAATATTTGCTTTTCAATGAATTGATACATATTTTTCTATATGACTTCTGGTCATATTATAACATTTTATCATAATTTTATCATATTAATCATTGGGCTATTACAAATTCTTCTGTTATAATTCAATAGTCAAGCTCCAAGATTATTGCCCTTTTATTTATCAGTTCCACTGATACAATGTGATCATACTCTTTATCACTCTTATGGATATATTCTTTGCTTTCAATAGCACACCATTAATTTTCTCAAATATTAGCCTTTCAGACTATAACAAAATTTTCAGAACTACGAAGTGCTTTTGTGTATCGTTTAATTTTTAAATCATCAATATTCAGGACTTTGATATAGATTATCAAATTGTGACAATCTTGCCATGCCATCTGTTACGACTACAAGATGGTCTTTTATCAAAGAATCATTAAAACGTGATGTGGCTTCTGGCCATCTAATCACAAAATCAAGAGTACAATGACTATTAGCCATTCCTTTATATATTTAACATTTTATTTTCTAAGACATCAATTAACTAATACCTAAGATGATAATCATATATAATAATTTTATAGATGAACATGAACCTCATAGCAAATCAAGAAGTATAAGGATAGTAGAATCATGAAAATATAAGAAAAGTAAGAAATAAAAATAAAAATTTTCATATCTCAATACAATAAATAAAATATTCGGCTACCAATGAATCAATAAGGTTAATATGCAAAACCACCATTTTCTCTAAATAAATTAGAGAAATCTTACCAAACTGTTCGGATCAAACTGTCTTCATTCAACGAACAAAACCTCTACGTGTATCAACTAGGAGCCATGAATTCTGATGGTAGAGTCTCGTGCTGATAACGTGTTATGAAATTAACCAACAATGAAAGTAGATTGGAGAAGAGAAGTAGACAAGAAAATGAGAGAATGATATTGTATTCCTTCACTTGCTTCACTTACATCACAATACAATGACATGCCTTATTTATAGGCATAGTCTCTCACACATAAGTTACATTTGTACTTAAATGATAGATAGTGGATAATAAACCATATGAATATGAGTGGAGGGAGTTACAAGATTAAAGGCATAGTGGAAAGGTAATGAAGTAGTAGAAGATTAATGCCTAATGAAAGTAGTGGGAGTTGATGATGAAGTTGAGAGGAAGAGGAAGAGGAAGAGGAAGAGATGGACATCACATGTTATAATATTCATAACAATATCCATATTGTTTATATCAGAAATATAACCATACTATATAAATAAGTTGCAGAATTATACCCCAAAAAAAAAGTGGCAGAAGAAAATAACTCATTATTTAAATCTATAATCATACCATTAATGAAAACCCATCACGACTCTAATTATTTTGAGCTGGTCAAAACTCCTACGGATGTTGTTATTTGATTTACGTCTTATAATTTTAAAGGACATTTAAGATGCTACCTCGAGTACTAATTCTACTTTCGGTCCTAATTATATAACTTTATTTGTAGGCTATAAACAATATCTTATAATTATGATCGAAGGTAATATCTTCTTATTTGAAAACATCCTTGTCTTAAAATTTTTTTTTAGAAATCACTCTTTTCTACGGATTCTCAAGAAAGCAAATCTGGTAGCCGACTGAGTACTAATAAAACTTTATTGAAGGGATCATGTCCTGCAGTCCTGCTGAATGGATATTAAGACCACGTATGAATCTGCAGAGGCTGCTGATATGAGATTATTATTATGGTTTTTCTTTAGAAAATGGATGATTTTCTTTGTTTGCTCTGTTGGTTTATTACTGTAATGGTTTTCTTTTCATACCTGGAACTAGTTTTTGTATAGTTGTTTGTCTTTAATGATAGTATTTTCTTTGATGGCCAAGGGAAAAAAAAAATAGAGGACACGATGAAAGTTCAGAATCTAAAAATTGAGGTTACTTTTCTCACCTGGGCGTGAATGAATGAATGACAAAACTTTAAGCTTTGTTGACTTGATTGCACAATTATTATTAATTATTAATTGGCCTATGGCCGTAAAAACTAAAAAGGCCGAAAACAAAAGAACAAAAGAGAAGATAAGAAAGAAACTTTTGCATCGACATGTGAGGAGGGAAGAAGATTCCACGCAATTGCTTTGAACCTGAAGAAGTAGTTTTTCCACGAGATGGGGCGTGCAGCAAAAAATAAAATCTATTTTTATGTAATTATTATATTAATTTGTATTTTTTTAGTAATTCATATATATAAAAAGTACTTCTATAACAACTATCCAAACACTTATTTTATCAAAATTACTTTTTCATAAAATCTATTTTCCAAACTATCATCCAAACATCGTCATAATATTTTTTAATGAGTGCGATACATTGGTTTTTTTTTTTTTTTGGACCCGGATGATATAGTGGATGTCTACATCACATGACAAGGATAAAGACGGAAAAAGCAAATAGTAGTATTACTTTATTAAAGTATTGTTACTATTACTTACTTTGGGTTTTAAATAGGGTTAAGGTGCAATTTTAATAAAAAAATTTACCGTAAGGAGCACTAGGCACTATAAAATTTATTTGGGTGCAAAAATATACATGAAGTTGTCAAAAGGGAGTATCTGGCACCATGCCGTTAACGTCCGTCAGTTTACCGTTAGAGGGGCCCAGAAAGTCAGTTTTAAGGTGCATTTTTAACAACAAAGTTTGCATCAAGGGGCATTAGGTACCATGAAATTTACTTGGGTGTAAAAATCTAAATAAACTTTGTAAAAGGAAAAAAATAACAAAATTCTTCAACTTCCATAAACATCCATTAATTTTATTCTTTTCGGTCTCACAAAATGCTATATTTTCTCTCTATAAATTTCCACTTCCAAGCCGATCCATCTTTCTCTCATCATAGTCAACACACACCCACACACTCTCTGTCATGTCGTTTTCTGAGCCTCCAAGCCTTTTATATGTATTTAAGCAAAACACATATTTCCCTTCTACGATATGAGGTTTATTGCTTACATCCAAGTACTACCTCCAATCCTTAATATAGGAGGCAATGGACTAATTTGAGGAGATTAAAATAAATAAATAAATAAATTACTTTAAATATTATATTATTTATTTATTTGACGCAATAGCATATAGTACATGATCTCTCTAAAATATTTATATGCATCATTAAATTATATATTAGTTTACAAGCCAAGAAAATTAATTTGGAGAAAAAACAATAAATATAATATTTTAAAGTAATTTATTTATTTATTTTTAATCTCCTCAAATTAGTCCATTGCTTCCTATATTAAGGACTGGAGGTAGTACTTGGATGCAAGCAATAAACCTCATATCGTAGAAGGGAAATATGTGTTTTGCTTAAATACATATAAAAGGCTTAGAAGCTCAGAAAACGACATGACAGAGAGTGTGTGGGTATGTGTTGACTATGATGAAAGAAAGATGGATCGGCTTGGAAGTGGAAATTTATAGAGAGAAAATATAGCATTTTGTGAGACCGAAAAGAATAAAATTAATGAATGTTTATGGAAGTTGAAGAATTTTGTTATTTTTTTCCTTTTACAAAGTTCATTTATATTTTTACACCCAAGTAAATTTCATGGTGCCTAATGCCCTTTGATGCAAACTTTGTTGTTAAAAATGCACCTTAAAACTGACTTTCTGGGCCCCTCTAACGGTAAACTGACGGACATTAACGGCATGGTGCCAGATGCTCCCTTTTGACAACTTCATGTATATTTTTGCACCCAAATAAACTTTATGGTGCCCAGTGCTCCTTACGGTAAACTTTTTTGTTAAAATTGCACCTTAACCCTTTTAAATAAGAAAAAATTGACCTAAAAAAACTAAAAATTTGTAAATATCAAATAAAAAATGTCAATAAAAATTTGTTGTCATTTGTAAATTTAGTATTGTCAACACCAAATGAAGTGTTGTTGTCGAACTAATTTGAGATTTAGTAATTTTTAACTTTTTTTTTAATCATTCTCCCTTTAAATGCTCCGTAATTTTTACTTGGAAATTCAACGTTAGTTTTATATATAAAATTTATTTTATATATTTATTAATTATTTTAAATTAATTTTTTTTGATATTTTTCTAACAATAATCAAGTAAGAGAGAAAGAAAAAATTAAAAAAATATTTAGAGTATTTTAAAAAATATATATATCATATTTATTAATTTAACAAACATCTTTAATCAACATAAATTAATTAATTATGTCTTATGTTAAGTATAAAGAGAATATTAAAAATGTGAACTTGATTAGTACATGAACCCTAATTTTCTATGATTAATTTTTATATGCATTGACGCTATGTTCCAAGCTTGAGCTCGTAACGTAATTCATTTCCCCTTGTTCTTCTCCACCGGCTCCTTTTCCAAACTCTCAAGGCTTCTGGAGAAGGCAAAAAGCCCACTCGGCAGGCGGGGTAGCTACTTTCACTAAGCCGGCCTTCATCACACCTTCATTTCCTGAGAAAATTCTTACGAGGTGAGATTTAGAAGCAGCAAAAGCCTCTTATATCTCTTTCTTTTTCTTCTTCTTCTTCTGATCATTGTGGCTCCCTACAGAAAATGGACTATCCGGATTGGCTGGCACCTGTGCCTTGGTGGCTGGCGGAAGAATCCTCTCCGATGAGTGAAGACCATATGACGTCTCGTTCCGAAAGGGCGCCTCAATCATTAGAAGACGGGTTAGAAAATTACGAGAGGGCGCCTCAAGCATTAGCAATTGATAACGACATGAGCTCGTCGACCGACGTGAGCAGCTGGTGGGACGAGCTTCTGGGTTCGCCGGGGTTAGTGCTTTTATTTTCGCCAAATAAATAAATATTAATTTTTTTTCATTTTTATTTTAAAAAATATTTTTTAATGAAAATTTATTCCAAGATTTAAATTCAGAGGTTTATTGTTGCTAAAAACATGTAATGATTATGAATTTGTACTGCTTAAATGATAGTTGGCAAAAATGATAGATATTATTCCACTTGTCAAGTTACATTATTTTAGTATAAATATTTGTTGTTCGACATATAAATTTACTCCTGAACTTGTATGTTTATTTTCCTCACCTTGCTGACCGGCGCCATTTTGAGTTAATTGAAAAAATAACAGCTGTTACATTTGTGTTTCAGAGTTACTCAGTGTGGTTAGGTTATGTGTCCTTCGTCAACAAATATTTCAATGTTCAATATCATTTAATACCCTAAATTCATTGGGGAAAAATACCCTAAATTATTTTTTTTCAGTAGTTCCTGAACTAATTTTTAGCCCATCTATCATCTAAGGTATTTTTCCAATAGTATTAGTATCTTAAAATAATTTTTATGCATCTAACATTCTAAAATATTTATTTATTAGTACCCAGTAATATGTATTAATATTATACAATATATATTAATATTATAACAAAATTTAAAAAATATATCCAGGGCAGGTTGAACCCCAGTGCTCCAAGTCTTGTCCACCCGCCTGTTTTTTGTTTTTTGTCCTGTTCGGCAAATGTGAACATCCCTCATTTAATATTTTAAATTTAAGGTGTTAGTTGCTAATAAAAAAAATACTTAAATAAAATTATATTGAAATTATTTTAAAATATTAGATTGTGTTAGAAAAATATTTCAAAATATCTACCTAATTTTTCTTTTGAAATATTACCCTGTGTTGTCCCTGATAGGGATCAGTATGATGTGTTCTTGAGCTTCAGAGGCGAAGATACTCGGGCGTCTTTCATTGCTCATCTCTATTCCTTTTTGAGCAATGCTGGAATTGTTGTTTTCAAAGATGATACGAACCTTCCTAGGGGTAATAGTATCTCAGTCGAATTGCCGCTTGGAATTGAATGTTCTACAATTTCGATCATTATCTTCTCCAAAGATTATGCTGGTTCTAGATGGTGCCTCAACGAGCTCTCAAAAATCATGGAGCTTCACAGAGCACAAGGTCGGGTAGCTCTGCCTGTGTTCTATGGCGTAGATCCGTCCCAAGTTCGTAATCAAAGCTCCACTTTTGGAGATGCGTTTCGTGATCTTATACAAAGAAGTTCACCCACAGAAGATGAAGTGTCAAGGTGGAGGACAGATCTCCGTGAAGCTGGGGGCATTGCAGGGTTTGTTGTGCTCAACTCCAAGTAATTTTCAAATATTTCATTTTTTCTTTCTTTTCAATTTTGCTGAGCCTAAACAGACACACACAGTAGATTCTTGCTGCAACGTGCACCAAGTAGTCACTTGTAATTTTTTGCCAGTAATATTGCATACATGCACGTATAGACATGCATACAATATGCTAGGGTGGAGTTCTCACAAGCGACTGAAAGTTTTGAAGTCAAATATTGAGTGTATTATTAGTTAGCCAAAAAATTGTTTCACTCTTTTTTTCCCCAAGTATAGCGATTTAACAAGCACAAGTGATGTTGTGTTTTCTTTTAAATTATGGCTTTGAAGTTGGTCAAATTGACATGTCTTTTAATTGTTAAGGTGTTGCAAATGCCCTCACCTGTAAAAGCAAGAGATAAAATATATTTTTAGTTCGGGACAAATTACTCCATTCAATTTGTTCCCTATAAAATTTAAGGTGCATTTGGTAATTGGTCCATGGAAAAGTTAGTTTAAAAAAGGGAGAAGGTGAGAGAAAGTATTTTTACCATATCTCGTAGACTGAAAATGGCTTTGTTGAAAATAACTCTTGGTGTGTTCAAGGAGAGAGTTTTCTCTTATGATTTCCTTCTTTTTTTTTTTTTTTTTGGGTGGCCCCTGTTCCTTTGAGTTCAATCATTTGTTTAAGTGTTTCGGAAGTTCTTAGTGTGTTCAAGGGAGGGAGTTTTCTCTTATGATTTCCTTCTTTTTTTTTTGTGGGTGGCCCCTCTTCCTTTGAGTTCAATCGTTTAAGTGTTTCAGAAGTTCTTTTCCATGTGGGCCTGATTGAATGTTTCATTGTGTAAATTTTCAACTTCATCTAAACGCGTGGTCTTTGAAACATATTTGTCTTTAATTGTCTCAAAGCTGTCAAGTTTTTATATGGTAAACTTTCATTCGATATTTTCTTTTTAGTTTTGTTGCTTAAGGTTTGATAATGACACTTCTAGTTCCAAGGGTATTGCGGTGTCGTAGTTTCCAATATGGTTTCTATGTAGATTATTCATAATGTCTGTTCTAACTCTGATGCATGTTTCCTTTAATAGCTTGACAAATTTTTTTCTACTCATGCTTATGTTATTGGTGCTCATTTTATGTTATATTTGGTTATAATTCAGGGATGAAAGTGAGGATATCAAGAATATCGTTAAGCATGTTTGCAAAATATTGGACAAGAAAGACTTGTTTATTGCTAACCATCCTGTTGGAGTGGACTCTCGTTTGACAGATTTGATTAAAATATCAGAAAGCTATTCAATTGACAATGTTCTCCTCCTAGGGATATGGGGGATGGGGGGTATCGGTAAAACAACCATTGCCAAAGCCATTTATAATGAAATTGGTCGAAAATTTGAGAGTAGATGTTTTCTGTCAAACATTAGGGAAGTTTGGGAGCAAGATTCTGGTCCAGTTAACTTACAGCAACAGCTTCTTTCAGAAATCTGTAAAACAACAATGATGGTGATACCTAGCATAGATTCAGGAAAAATCATATTAAAGGAATCTCTTTGCCATAAGAGAGCACTTGTTGTACTTGATGATGTGAATGAAGTTGAGCAACTAAATGCTTTATTTGGAAGTCGTGAATCCTTTGGTGGGGGAAGCAGAATAGTTATCACTACTAGAGATAAGCATATTCTCAAATTCTTTGGAGTGAATCATGTATATGAAATAAAGACCATGGACGAAATAGAATCTATTGAGCTTTTCAGTTGGCATGCATTTAAGCAACCAAGTCCCAAAAAGGAATTCATTGACTTTTCTAGAAATATAGTTGCTTATTCTGGAGGACTGCCACTAGCCCTTGAAGTCCTTGGCTCCTATTTATTTGATAGGGAAGAGGAAGAGTGGAGAAGTGTACTAGACAAACTAAAAAGAATCCCTAAAAATGAGATACAAAAGAAGCTAAAAATAAGCTTTGATGGTTTAAGCGATGATATGATGAAAGAAATCTTCCTTGATATATCTTGCTTTTTTATTGGGATGGATAGGAGTGATGTCACGCAGATATTGGATGGTAGTGGACTTTTTCCGCACATTGGAATAAGTGTCCTTGTGGAGCGGAGCCTTGTAACTGTTGATGAGAAGAACAAGCTTGGCATGCATGATTTGCTGCGAGATATGGGGAGGGAGATAATCCGAGAACAATCACCAAAAAGCCTTGGAAACCGTAGTAGGTTATGGTTCCATGAAGATGTACTTGATGTATTATCAAAACATACTGTAAGGACTTTCCTATCCTATATTCATCATTCTGTCAAAAAAGTAAAATGGCATGGAAAGCTAATTGAACGTGAATGAACTGAGCATGTAGGTGTATTTATAGTTAATTTCACTCCTAGGTAGAAATTATGTATTTTTAAAACTCATTGTTTAGTCACTTCCTCTAGAAACATGCTTGTGACAGGTTTACGTTTTACCTTTCAGTAAAGGAATAACAGAGGTACACACTTCAAATTTTATATGCTTTTTATTTGCAGGGTACAGAATTTGTCGAGGGGCTAGCTTTGAATTTGTCACAAACCGATAAAGATTATTTTTCTACCAAAGCGTTTGAGCAGATGAAGAGACTTAGATTACTCCGCCTTGGTAATGTGAAACTTGAGGGAGACTTTAAACACATGAGCAGAGATCTCAGATGGCTTTATTGGCTTGGCTTTCCTTTGAAATACATCCCTGCCAACTTTTATCAGAAAAACTTAGTTTCTATTGAGTTGAAGTACAGTAGCCTTAGAGAAGTTTGGAGGGAACCCCAGGTATGTATACTTTTTTGGCATCAGCAAGAAAGTGTTAATCATTAGATTTTATTTCACTGCATAACTTCTAGATGGTTCTTTATTTGAGACTTTTCTTATAATAGCTTTGGATGAGGCTACTTTCATCACTAATCTTGAATATAGCTGCTGAATTTTTCTTCAATTTACTTTCTTATTTATATTCGTTGCTATAGATAGAAGCCTTTCCACCATCATAACTACTTATTTATTTCGCTGTCAGGACTTCATGTCTAGCTAATTAAAGCTATCATTTCAAGTGTAGTGTTTTGGAAATCATTCTTTTTTCTGATATGGAAAATTTTACAAAGCAGGTAATCAAAGTTTATAGAAGTTGATCAAACCTGTTACTGGAATGTCAAAATCATGCTACTTTCTACCAAATTGTACTATAAACCCATAAAATAAAGCAGTCGCACTCAATGTTTTACTTACCGTTTTCTGATTGGTTCATTCTTTTATAAGATGTAAAATGCTATTCTCATGAGACGTGCCAAGCATTAAGTGCCTGCACACTTATTTTTACTCTAATGCTAGGCTTTAGAATTGGCCTTTAATAGGTATACCAAAATTGATGGTTGTTGATTTACTTTATTTTATGGGTTTATTCACTGATTTTCCCTTGAATTTTCTTTTCTTGCAGTTATTGGAGAGACTAAAAATCCTCAATTTGAGTCACTCCCCTTTTTTGATGCAGACTCCTGACTTCTCAAAACTACCGAATCTTGAAAAGGTGATTCTTAAAAATTGTCCAAATTTGTCTGAGGTTCGTCCTACCATCGGGCATGCCGATAAACTCCTTTTAATAAATTTGAAGGATTGCACTAGCCTTTGCACTCTCCCAAGAAGTATTTATAACTTAAAATCACTAAAAACTCTTATTTTGTCTGGTTGTACGAGGATTGAAAAATTAGAAGATATAGAGCAAATGGATTCCTTGAGAACTCTGATTGCTGATAACACTGCAATAACAGAAGTGCCTTTATCTTTACCGAGGTTAAAAAGTGTCGGATATATATCTCTTTGTGGCTACAGGGGATTATCACGTGATGTGTTTCCTTCTCTCATTTGGTCACGGATGTCCCCAGCAAATAATCCTTTATCTCTTATTTCATCACATGTGGGCATGCCAAATTCCTTGGATATATTGAATAGCAATGTCCCTGGTCCTTCATCTGTCTGTAATAACCTCGCACAGCTACGAAGCTTTTTGTTGGGAATCATATCAGAGAATGACCCTGAAGTGATTCGAGGTGCTGCAAAAATTTGGGAATCCTTTCATGCCAGCATTTGCATAGACATGGCAACAATACCAAATACTTCAAAAATCTTTGAGATTGAATCTTCTGTGTTAACTGGTCATCATAGTCAGGTTCACATCTCAAGATCAGAAAATTTTTTGAGGCATCTTCTAATTCAAATTGGAAAGAATGACCAAGTCACTGCTACTCTTCTAGAGAATATCTCACAGGTTCTCTTTTTGATTCGTCTTTTTTCTTTCTTTCTTTCTTTTTTTTCGGTTTAAAAGAATATTCATTCCTATTATATGCAATTCTTTAATAAAATTGGAAATGACCTTTCTGCTTGCCTTGCTATATAGTTGAACTAAGCTGATGCTTATGTTATTAAGCAGGAATTTACTCCCAGGAATTACAATGATGCTTTTGTCCTTCCTAGCGACAATTACCCCTATTGGCAAAGTTTTAAGGGTGAAAGAGCTTCTGTGAAGTTTAAAGTGCCTCGAGTTAGCGATCGTGATTTAAAAGGGATGATTATTTCTTGTACATATTTCCCTTCAACTGATTTGAGTAACAAGGCATGTGAATCTTGTGTTAGTGTAATGATCATAAATTATACAAAGACAACCACTCTGTGCTACAGGCAAGATTCACTGACTTCATTTGAAGAAGCTGAGTGGAAGGAAATAATATCAAATCTAGACTCAGATGACCAAGTGGAGGTGATGGTAGTTTTTGGTAATGGATTCACTGTGAAAAGGACAACAATCTACTTAAAATACGACGAGTCATTTGATGAACAGATAGAGCATCCGCCATCACCAAGTATTGTTAGCTTCTTGAAACTATCTTATTTTGCACAATTGCTAAGAGTTAAATTCGATTAAAGTTTTTGTTTCAAGGAGGGAAAAGAGTTAATAGATTATTGTTTTCAAGGTTAACAGTTTTGCTTGTGTGTGTGTGTAGGTAGAGAAGTTGATAAGAAGCCCATGCAGACTTATGTTAGAAGGAGGAAGCGACAGAAGATTAATTAATAATTCTTTAGTAGTTCTTTTTTTTTTTAATTCCTTATTTTGCCATTGCATAATTTGTTTTATTGTTTGAGAGATTTTAAGAGTCAAATAAGTATCTATGTGGTCGTTAGGATCCCAACATCCAATGTGTTGCTATTTAGTTGTTGAAGTCAGCCCCCAAATTTTAAGAAATATTTCTGGATATTATTTAGTAATTTTAATGTAATTTCAGTTTGTAATTAGATTAGCCGCCACACCACTCAAGTAATGATAGCTCATTTTTATCCCTGGGGGATTCTCCTGACTCTCTGGCTGGCTATTAAGAAATAGATGGTTGAAATACTTATTCTCCTTTTCAATTAGATTTTCTTTTCATTTATTTTCCTAAAAGCAATTTGAGCTCCTGCCAGAAATGGAATGCAGAGAGAAGACTCAGAAAATGTAGGGCTTGTTTGGTATTTTGTTTTAAATATAATTTTTTATTTTAAAAAACGAAAAAACAAAGATGCTTGTTGAGTAATTTGTTTTTAGTTGATTGTTTTAAAACAAAAAAAAAATAGTAATATGTTTTTAAAAAATAAGACCCAAAACAATTTTTAGATTTTTTTTGGTATATTTTTTTTTGTTTTGAAAAATTGGAAAAAAAAAATTTTCTTTTTACTTTCCACTTGCCACGTATCATCGCTGGTGTTGGCCAGTACTTGTCAAATGTGATTTTTTATGTTTTTTTAATTTCAAATGTGATTTTTTTCAGAATAACTATCTAAACATATTTTTTTATTCTCAACACTTGTTTTTGAAAAAACAATTTTAAAACAACAAAATTGTTTTGAGAATGAGGAAAAAAAACATGAACAACTTCTCAGAAGCTTTTGCTCCGGGAAGGAGAAGCAGCAGGGTTCCAGAATCCAGTATAGTGATGTCACAGCGCAAAGACAAGATATGATTGAATGCTTATCTTATCTTTTTTATTTATCATTACCTTTTTCTCTCTTTTTTGGTTTATAATGTACACACGCACGCACATATTTGAAAGATGGGTTCTAGTGTTGAAATATTCTCAGTATCCAGATCATCATGCTCAGTCCAAAAAAAAAAAAAGATCATCATGCAAATCCCAAGACTAGGGTCTTTTCACACTTTATTGTGTTGAAATTCAGGGATTTTAATTCATGAAAATTAAGTTATTACTTGTTAAAAAATGAAAAATGAATATATATATATACTACTTCTTGTCTTTAATATAAGATCTTAATCCACTTTATCTCTCATATTTATATATATTTTTTAAAGTAACCCTTCTAATAATAAGAGTTCTAGTCAATACACTTGATTAGCAATGACATTTTGGAAAAAACAACACATATTTAGGACAAATAACTAACTCAACTTACTTCTTTAATCTTCTCAAATTAGTCAACTGGCTTTTATAATTAGAACCGGAAGTTGTATATAGATAGCCCTGACACATATTTGTGCTGAGATAACCAAATACTGATAGTTCTTAATTGGCCATTGGTCATTTGAACTACACTAAGTAAGATGCTTTTATGATTAAATTGTTTAGCTTTATTAAAAAAAATTCACCCAAAAAAAAAGTTCAAGTGAAACTGTTTAGAAACGTTCACAGGAGCAAGTTTTGAAGGGTTGAAAAGAAATATTTAGGCTAGCGTAAGTTTTCCACAGGATCACCTAGATTTTAGCCTGTTAACTGCAATTCAGAGCATGCTAACTTGGTCGTGGGATGTGGTGCTTGCTTGCTGTGACCGGGAGGCGAACATACTTGCTGATGTCATCGCCAACGAAGCTCAAATTCTAGCTACCGATTGTCTGAGCCTCCATCATCCTGTCACCATTTGCAGAGGGATATGGCCTGAGCCTCCATCACACTGTTGTGAGTCCTTGGTTGTTTGTAGTTTTCCTTTTCTCACAAAAAAAAAAAAAAAGAAATATTTAATTAAGGCTGTACTTACTAGTTTTATTTCCACCTCATAAATCAGTTATATTAGTATCAACTATTCAGTATGACCATTTTGTCATTAAAATATTTTCATATTTTTTCTAAAGTAGCCTATATTTTAACTGAGTGAGAATTTGCGATAAAAAGAAAATAAATATAATAGAAACAATGACAATGATGTGAGAGGTAAGTTAAAAAAATAATAAGGTGAAAGTTATAAAATTTGAAATAAAAAGAAAAAAGTAAAATGTAATAACAATATATATAAATTATATTAGAGATTGAGTTTAATTGATTCAGAATTGAGGCTAAAATAAAATACTATAAGTGAAAAAAAGTTAATTTAAAGAATCTGAGCTTAGAATAAGAGAATTCAAAATATCTATATGCATATTACTTGTACCATTGCAATAAAAATACCAAAACAAAAAACTAATTTTAATTTTTTAATATTTTTTTTAACCCAAATGAAAGAGGCGAAAATATAAGAGCACGCGGAGTAAGTTCAGGCTGGAGGATAGTGGAAGAAGGATGGCGCGAAACTAATTCACTTTCGTACCGGAAAATTTAAAACCACGCCAGTCATAGGTGCTCTATAGGAATTTCAGTTTCCAATCTCCAGAATAGTGCGTTCTGTTTCGCTTCTCTCTGCTATTAGGGTTAAGATTTCCGAACTGCACACAGAGCCAGAACAAGCATGCATTCGAGCGAGTTCGACGGCGCCGCAGCCTTCTCCGGCGGTGGTTTTATGCCGTCTCAGGCAACTCAAGGCCATGAACCTTCCTTCTCCTACTCCAAGGTCCATACATTTCGCATACTTCTTCTCCCTCCCCCCCCCCCCTCATTTTATGTTCTGGCAAGTGCGATTAGTGCTTTGGTTGGCTAATAACTGAACTGCGACAGTTGATTCAATCTATTCTGTTTATTTTTATTCATTTTAAATTCCTCCTAGCAATTAGCAATCACGTAATTCTGCTGCGTTTTGGCTTGATTATATTTTGGAATATTGGTGAAGGTTATTGGCCAAGTTATCTTTGTTACTGTTGAAAAGTTAACTTCTGAACCGACTTAATGCTTCGCTTTTGCAGAATCGTGATGCTCAGTCATTGCTTCCTCTGACGGTCAAGCAGATCAATGATGCATTTCAGTGAAGTGATGATAAGTCTAATATGATTATCGACGGCGTGGATGTTAATAATGTGAGTTTTTTTGAATTGCATTGGCTGTGGTCTTCTTTTCTCTTGTTCTGATAGTTTGAGTTAAAATCGTATCCAGGTCACTCTTGTAGGAAGGGTGTGCAACAAAGCTGGAAGGATTACTGATGTTACATTTGTACTGGATGATGGAACTGGAAGAATTGAGTGCAGTAAATGGTGAATTCTTTTTTCTTTTTCTTTTTTTTTATTTGTTGGTGTTTTGCCTTTTTTTTTTTTAGTTTACTTTTTCTGGTCTTTTACATGTTCACAGTGACAGGTAATTTTGCATCTGCAGGCTCCAGGAAGATGTAGACACCAATGAAGCGGAGGGTCTCAGGTAATTTTGCTGCTTATGTCTAGTGCTGTATTCGCTTAGTGATTTATTTTTTAATGATTTCTTAGTTTCATAACCTTTTTAATTTCTTTCATTACTCTTCTCTTTAAACAAAAACTTTTGTCAGTTATGTGATCATTGCGATCAAACTTTCTAGCGTTGTAACTTGACACAATGAATATGGATTTATGAGTTGGTAATTTTCTTGCTAATCAGAATTTCAGAACATTACATGTCCAAACATTATTTGCCATTCTGCAGTGAGATGGTTTATAAAGTTAATGTTTCTAGTTGCCAACTCTTTTTGAATGTATCGTTTATTTCGTTCCATGAAATATAGTAACTCCTTTTCTTTTTCTGGTTTCAGGGATGGAATGTATGTGCGCTTACATGGACACTTGAAAGGATTTCAGGGAAAAAGGACCTTAAATGTATTCTCTTTTAGGTGTGTCATTAATATCAAGTCTAGTTATTCAAGTTTAGCAGTTCAATATTTTTTTATTTTCTTCTATATGTATTACCGTCAGAGTGCCAGCCTATAGTGAAGATGGTTGGGTTTTGAGAAATGCATACAATAGGAACCTTGCTAAATCCTTCTAGAATAACACAAAGAACACTGCAAGACACTTATATTTGATATTGAAGCAGAAGTACTCCTTGGACAGGTTACAGAAACCAATTCACTGTCTCACACAGACACATGCCAGTGCCAACAAGATTCAGTAAAACGCAACTGACCAAGCACACACTCCAGTTACACACCTCCAGACCAATAAAAAATGCAAACCAGAAACTAAAACAGGAGCTGGCAGGATTCCTTCATTTAGCACAAGAAATTAGTAACATAGCAGAACAATCTGGCCACTATAAGAGCAGACAGAACAAGAGAAGAAGTTAATAAGATGATAATGACACAAGGCCAGTGCTAGCTTTCGAGAGCCTAGCTCACTACCTAACTTTTATCTTAAAGGTTCTCTTCCCCGTTTTCCCATGGCAGGTTTCCTTCTTAAATAGTGTCTTCCAGCCGCTTCCTCAACCACCCTCTGACCCTTCATGCATTAGACTCTTGTACAATTGGCCGGTCTATTGGTTTCAGCTCTAGTTCCCTATTTCTACCCTTTTTCTTTTCGAGACAATTCTTTATGGCAGTAATAAATTGGGTAGGATGAATAGTCCAATCAATACACCTTGTTTATGTCACTTTGCCCTCTGCTTGAAGTCTACAAAATTATGTGACTTGGATGACTAGTCCTATTATTATAAGCGTAAGTGGGCTAATGATCATGGGCCTGTTTGGAGCAGCTTATAAGTAGCTTATAAGCTGCTTTTTAATAGTGATTTGCGGAATATGAGGCAAATATATGAGAAGAATTTTGTCTCAACTTACGTGAAACATGTTTATAGGGAACTTTCACTACTCTACCAAACGGGGCCCATGTCATCAAGCAAACGATGAGACCAAGTCGTTATTTTTTTTTAATAGTTTAATCTTCATTTGAATCACTTCCCGAGATTTCTCTATGCGTTCTTT